TACTTATGGTAAAAATAAAGATAAATAAATACTGTCTTCAAGACAGAGAGAATAATCCCTTCCAGTCTGGGTTTGGTTGAGTGTGGTTTGGGGTTCTCAAAACTTTTAAGCCTGGTCCCTGGATCTTAGCCTTACGGGCAAAGGTCCTTACAAGACATCTTTTAGTCAGCTGTGTGCCAACAGTTGCCTCAGAAGCACAGCTGTGCACAGGTGACTACCATGGAAAGTTGAGCAAGACGTAAATGTGCAATAATGTTGGGGAACATATTAAGCATATGGTTTGACAGCAAAAGACAAAAGTTCTTAAGTCCCTTCTAGAAAAAAACAAGCTCCACAAAATCGATCCCACCTCAACAATTCAAAAAGAAACAAACTAAAAGAAAAGAAAACCTTCAAAACCAAAAACTTACTGGAAAAAAGAAAGAAAAATCTAGAGAGGCAAATACTTCTACTTCCTAGAAATAGGCTAAAACTCATTCTGGTTCTAAAAATTCACTAGCAGGGCATGTCTGGGTGAGATTTGCCTCTCTGCTCATATTTCACACACAAAAAGAAGGTGGTGGGGAGCAGCAGCAACTCTTACGTATCACAAAACAGAGAACTAGTAACCTTTTACTTCAGGGACTGAGAATTTAATCTTTCCACTGTACCCCTGCTGTTTGTCTCAGTTTTCAGTCTGGAGCAATCATCATTGCACTGCCGTATGAATGAAAAATAGAAGCTCAACCAGTGTTTAAAACTGGTTTAAAACCAGTGACAAAACTTCTGTTGCAATGAACAATCCCAGAAGATCCTATCCTTATTTTAATATAAAATGAATCAGATCTACATATCTAAACAGAAAAAGACACCAACATATAAAGGATATACAGCTGTAATAGACCTTTTTTTCCGCCAGTCAAATTTCAGATCAGACTTGACTATCCAAAGTTACATTAATGCAAATATCTGCCTGTTGCAAGTATACTTTTTGATTAAATTGGCATACATCAAGTACAATTAGAAAGGTTATTTATAACGAAGAAATACATAATTCTGCATCTTAATGGGGATGACAATTACAGTTGATGGTTGCTAATTAACATTACTTCTTTTGCTCTGGGTGCTAGATACATCCTGTGTGATCTTTATTGTTGGCAATGGACACATCTAATTCTGGAAGGCACGAAATGGTTAATTACCAGAAACATTTGTGCTCATAACATATTCATTTGAGAAGCAAATGGTAACCTACTCAGCTCTGGCTTCACACTGGAGAACAGAGGATCAAGTAGAATTGATAAATTGATTCCATCTCATGGAAGGAAAGGTATTTATTCAACTTTCTTTCAGAGCCAAGGTTGACCTACCCACTAGGTATTCAGAATGGCAAAGAGAAAAGCCCCTCCAGAACTCTCTTGTGAAATGGTCTGTGTGGTGTTGTCTGTCCTGTTCCAGCCAAGCTGAAATGAATGGCACCAGTTCAATGCCATCGCCGTCTTGTACTGAGGTGGCCACTGGGCTTATTTCCTCAGACAGCTCAGGGCTGTGTGATCAGTGCTGGAAGCCAAGAGAAGTGGAGAGAAAGAAGCACTGCAGCTCTCAGCACAGAAAACTCTTTGCTTGTGCTGTAAATTACATATTTATTTTGTTAGCATGAGATAGATGAATATTTCTACATACAAAGGTGCCCAGCTAAAATCAGGATAAGTGATATTAATGTCTTATGGTCAGTATTATTGAACCTCGAAAGCAATAAACTTTATGAGTCGATAAATATTACATTTGCAACATAGTTAACATTCCTTTACTGTCTCTAGCACTTATTACACATTGTAACTGCAAGTCTACAATACATTATTCATATTTGGGGTGTCACCAAGTGATGGATTGCTGTAGGAGAGGCTGTCCTTTAAATAAATCAACAAATAAAAATGCAAATGTTAACATTTTAAGCCACAACTTTTCCCATCTTGAATGGGGAATAAAAATTTCACATTATATTGACAGCCAACAGAGAGAACAATTAACAAACTACACTGTGAATGAGGAAGATAATTTTGCCACACCTGATTTTTTCACCTGCCCATGGGCCAATATGAGAGTCTTCTAGGTGTTTTCAGAGAACAAAGGAGAGACTGTTTCCTACTGGCATCTGTCTCTCTTATTCTTCAAATTTGGGGTGCACAGGAAAAGGAAAGGTTTTATTGCTGTTCTCTTCAGTATTTTCAAAGGTGTGTTAAGATGAAGAAAAATAGGCTTTTTTCTGCATTTAGTGTTTGCACGTGACCGAAAAATAGTGTATAAAAAAATGCCTTTTCTACACTTTGAAAGAAAAAAAAATTCTAATAATCCTGATTCTGAAGTTTGAAAAGCAACCACTGTGCCTTCCTGGTAACTGATTTTCATAGAACTGAATCTGTTTTTCAACTCTGCACTTTGTATAATAGACGTATACTATGCCATCATGCACTTCTAAGGATAAAATCTGGTGTGTTACACATTGTTTTATTTAGCAAAATGCTCAGTATTTCAGAAGCTTCTTAAAGTCTCTATATAGCTGACCTACAGTATTCAAGATCCATGAATATGACTGTTCACAGAAATTTTAACCTGGGTCTGTAAAACTGTACAACATTGATATGGTTCATTCAGAAATTGTGTGCAGAGGATGTTTTATAAGGCCCTTATTGGGGAAACATTCTATACTTCTTTTTCATGCTTCTGTGTAAACTGAAATGCAACCATCAAAGCCACACTAATGTGGTATTTAAGATCTCATTTTAATCTTCAACAATAGGAAAATTCACTAAGATTGAAGATGCAGATCTTTTTCTAACTCCTCTAAACAAATCCCTCAAGGTAAGTTAGGGCTTAGGCCTGGTTTGCAACACAAGCTTTTAGTCTTTATGTTAAGTGGTCCAAAGAGGAAGTCTCATCAACATTTCAGAACCACAACTCATTGTGGGACTTAGGCAAAATACACACACACACACACACACACACACACACACACACACTTATTTATTTAATTTATTATTACTTTTTAAAGGAGAAATAGAGAAAGAATGTTGTAAGCTGGTTAAATTCTCTGTGTACTGTGGTTAGATTCCAAAATAGGGAGGCTGTCACTGTCAACTACTATTGGGTTTTAAGGAAATCTCTGATGTATCTTTGCATAGAAAAATGCATTATGACTTTCCGGATGACCTATTACAACAGATTATGAGCTGTGGGTCAAAAATGTTGTCTCTCCCTCTTATTAGCTATGTGAGTTTAGACAAGTCACTCAACTTCGTTGAGCCTTAGTTTCCTAATCTTTAAAATGGAAATGACAGTACCACTCATAAGACTGTAAAGATCAAATCAGATAATGCAATATAAAGGGCTTGGCATGGTGCTGGGCATATACAGATAATTAACAGATGGTGGCCAGTATTATTATCTTCTGTGTTAGAGTCATTTCTCAACATTGCTTTAAGGTCTTTAGTGTTCTAGCTCCAAAATAAGGCACAATGATGAGTCACCACACAATGAACACTTGCTCTTGAGGATGCCTAAGCTTGGTTTCCGTGGGACAGTATTTCTATAGGCAGAGGGTCAGAATACAGCTTTTCAGAGGAGAGGAGATAATGCTTCTCTCCCTTTTGAAATGACCTCACACCCCAAAAATAAATTTTAGAGTATATCTTTAAAATCTTCAGACTTAAGACCAACAACTTGGTCATTTCTACTTTGCAAAAGCAATGGACTTTGAATCAACTACAAATTAAGTCTTAAAATCTAAATTTATTTGATCTGATGTTAGAAATTTAAGTGCTCAAAACCTGTCATATCATTGGGACCAGCAGTTAACGTAATGGCTATGCCGCTGGACTCCCACGTAGTCGACCGCGGTTCGCGTCCTGGACCTGGTGGCTTAAACTCATGCCGGGCACGTGTGCGTGCGTGCCCAAGATCCTGAGGGGAGAACGGAGAAGAAGGGATTGCGGCGTGACCATCCCCCCTGGGGGGTGATTTCTCGCTTTCTGTCTCTCTGTCTCTTTCTGTATGGTGAGCGCATGCGCCCTATAGCAAAAACTTCTAAAAAAACAAAAAAACAAACAAACAAAAACCCTGTCATATCACCAAACAAACAATAAACCAAGCCCTTTGATATTTATATACTCAGCCTTAAATGTACAGATGTACAGTATGAGAGTTGGCTCATTAAGTATGAGAATTGAGAATTCTTTTTTTGAGAGAGGTTTTTTTGTTTGTTTGTTTGTTTTTTGCTATAAGGTGCGTATTCTTGACAGAGAGACAGAGAGACAAAAAAGTAAGAAATTACTCCCAAGGGGAGATTGGCTATGCTGCAATCCGTTTTCCTCCATTTTCCCCTTGGGATTTTGGGCATGGATGCAAAAGCGTGTGGTGTGACTTTCAAGCCACCTGGTCCAGGACTTAAAACTGGGGTCGGCCAGGTGGGAATCTCGTGCCTCAACCACTATGCCACCTGCTGGCCCCAAATATGAGAAAGTAAAAAAATATGTATTTCTTTCTCTGATTCCAGAAAAGCTAATAAAATGGTTAACTCTTCAAATGTCTCTGGTATAAAGAAAAGTTAGTATTACTTTAACTAGTATAAAAGCCCCTATAATTTTCAACGTCAATTAATTCAGTTAGTTATAGTCCATATGTATAACCATTCTGTGATAAATTGGGAAGGACTTGCTGTTATGCAGATTTTCTGATGAAGGACAGAATTAGCTTTGTGTTTCTATGGAAGTCCTTGACAATCTACAGGACCAATTAAGAAAGTGAATCCTTGACAATCTACAGGACCAGTTAAGAAAGTGAATGTATAAAGAAAAGGACTCCATGTGGTTTAAGCTAACCAAATCTAGATGCTTCAAAATAAGGACCTCACTACTCAGCAAGAGTCACTAAGAATTGTTAAGATTTTTTTCATTATTTATTAAATAAACCATTAAAAAAAATGTTCTCATATGGAGATGCTAAACCAAGAATCTGCAGCTTACCGGGAGGCACTGTGTTGGAACGATGATGAGGCGGTAGTTACAGGCTCCTTTTGCTTTTCTGTTGGCATGGGAGATGTTGACGCATCTTTTCTAACTTCTGTTGTTGTCCCTGTATGAATGATAAAGGAAATAATCTAGCATTCAACAAAAGGAAATGGAAAACTCCATCCTGAGTAATATATTAGACATCATAGGGATACCCAAGCTTCAAAGAAGGCCATTTATGCTCCCCAACTCACCTGAAATGGAACCATGGCAAATGGAGAAAACTCAGTGAATTGTTTTGGTTTTTATAAACAACAGAGATACACAATGCCTTATGTCAAAAAAGTATATTTGTGCAATAACTGAATAGAGATTTTGTTTTTAACCCAATTGCCTACCATGTTCCTGCTGCTCTGGGTTTACCTTAAAAATGCCTGAGAAGGTAGATTGCTTTGCTTCTTTTGAATATCATTAACAAAGGATCTTTTTTTTCTCTTTAATAGAATTGACAATCCCAGTATGTTTTACTTCATATTGGTTCTCAAAAAATCTTTCGAGGTAGACACGAGTTTCCACGTTGGACCAAAATATATTACATGGAAGAGATGCTCAACTAATTATTCATTTCAGGATGCAGACAAGTTTCTAAGCAATAGTTTATCTTCCCAAAGTACTGGATGATTTGGCCTTTGCTCTTTTTTTTTCCTTTTTAAAGTGATTTTCCAGAGGGCGTGAATATTTGTGCACATGCACGAGAGAAAAATAAGAGAAACGATTGCATGCCCAAAGGCGATCCTTACATTCCTGGCATATTTCTCAAGCTGCCAAGTCCAGGACTGAAACTGCGCAGCCAGCCATATAGAATCCTGCTGTGTTAACCACCAGGCCATGGGTTGTTGGTCCTGGTAGTCGTTCCTTTCTAACAAGCAATACTTAACAAGTTACTTTTCTTTTTCATGATGCTACATTAAAAAGTGGTGTAAATAAAAAGACTTTTTGTTTTGTTTTGTCTTTGTTATATGTGAATTTATTTATTTATTTTTAGTTTATCCATTTATTTCTTCTGAGAGCGAGAAAGTGGGAGGAGGGAGAGAGAGAGAGAGAGTATCCTGAACAGGATCCTCATTCTATGATTGATTCCCAGTCTCAGCTGGCCCAAATCACAGTCACGTGCACCTGTCTGAGGTGCTCAGGGAAGTCCTGAGCCAAACCCCAGATATTTTCCATGTGAGTCCAGCTGTGTAACCATTGTGACACAGCCTGGCCCCATCATGTTCTATTTGCTATTATAGTTATTACTTATTTTTATTTTATAAGCAATAAAAATTATGTCTTTATCTTGGAAGACTACAGGACTCTCATTTACAATTTTCTTCTGGCTCCTGGAAAACTTGTCCTGATGCTAGAGAAGTTTATTTGGGGCTGAGAAAATATGGGGCACAGATAGTGATATTTTCTTGGGAGACTGGAAACTCTATGTATGGGAGGCCTGAGTTTAGTTCCTGGGTCAAGTTGAACAAATTGGGTATGACTGTATGAATCTGTAGTTCTGGCTTATTGGGAGGCTGGGGTAGAAGGATGACAGGACAGAACCTTTCAAAAATACATATCTTTGTTTTTCTGTTTCTTCTTTTTTATAAAATATTTACCAAAGTATGATCTTCTTACCAAATTTAAAAATCTTTTATTTTCTTTATTTATTAATGATAGATCAGGTATGCACACCTGAGAGTGAGAGAAAGAGAGCAAGAAAGAAAAATGAACCTTCCACAGGGTCTGGTTGTGCCGCCATTCCCTTCCTCCAGCTCTCCATCTTTCAAATCTTGAACACTGGAGCATGTGCCCAACATGTTTTAGGCTGATGAGGTCAGGGAACAGAAGCAGCAGCAACAGAGGAAGAGTGATATTTGGGAAGATCCATTTTTTTTTTTCCTTTTAGGAAAGGGTGAGTATTCAAATAACACAAAGATGGGCCAGCCCATAGCATGATGGGAGGCTGGATTCCACACAGCCAGCTGGGCAGTATGAGTCCATGGACCCAGAAGCTTGAGAAACACCTCCTGAAAGGAGGGAGAAATGGAAGAGGGGATTAAGGGATTGTGGTGTTACCATTCCCCATGGAGGGCACTTTCTCACTTTTTCAAGTTCTCTCTCTCTCTTTCCTGTCTCTGACAAGTGGATGCACTCTTTGCAAAATTGGGAAAAAAAAAAAAAAGAGTAGGTCCTCTTAAAAACAAAAAACAAGTAACACAAAGATAAGATACTTGGAGTGTTGGAAATGTCAGATCTTTAAATACCAAGGCTAGAGAATGGCAATAGCTTAAGTATGACCAAAGAAATCAGGTTTAGAGAAGGCCAGAGTCTTATATCTGTATAGATCAGCATCAAAATGCTCAGTATTATCCTTGATATTAAAAAATCTATACTTTTGAAATCAACTGCTCTCTATGATTCAGATAAAAGACCAGCTACCTAAATGCACAATTCAGTTCTCTTTGCATACACAAACCTGTGGGACCCTGAACCCAAATCAGCATATAACCACAGAAAACCTAAACTCCATCAGTCCATTGAGCACATTCAGTCAGTGAACATCTACTGAGGACCTAACGATGGACAAGGCCAGTTCCAAGATTCAGCCGAGACTTCCCTTAGGGAGGGAAGGGAGGAGTGAGAGTAAGGAAATGAGACACTTTTCACAATCTTGAAAAGAAACATAGGTAATCAAGACAGTAAAAGTTAATAATAATGGTTACCACATATAGTATGCTTCTATGTACCAAAGTGTTCTAATCCTCTTCCCCCTTCTTTTAAATGGCATTATATAGATATAGTTTGAATACCATAGAATTTATCCATTTTAACTGTCATTTGACAAATATTAAGTTCATATACCATGAAAGCATGGCCACAAACTAGTTGATTATTTTTTTTCTCAAAGTACTTACATATTTACTTTTACAATACAATTTTAGAGTATTTCATTGCTCAGAAAGTTTCCTCACGCCCATTTGCTCCCTGCCTGGGTCTGCTTCTATCCCCCTCTGGAATGATTTTTAGAAATTATTTTTAGAAATTATTTTTTCCCCATAAAACCTCTTTGTGATAGATACTATTTTTTCAAATTCACAGATAAGGAAGATAAACCACAGGGGACTTACATGACCTGCCTAAGGTAACAAAGCTAGTTGGTAAAGCAGCTAGGATGTGTGACCAGACAGTCCAACTGGAGAGTGTTCATCATTCATCATTATACTATACTGCTGTAATAAGCAATATGAAAAGTGTGAGGAATCAGGAAGTAGGGAGAGATCACACCTGGCTATCAGATTAAGGAAGATTTGATGCAGGAGCTGAAATTTTGATTAGGAAGGAATGAGGATCATGAAGTTTGAGGCAGAGAGATTTATATTAGCAAAGCATTAAATTAAAAACCTCAAGGATATATATTTAATTTATTCAGGAAATATTTATTGAACAGCACTATGTCCTTGTACCTTGCTAATCACTTTAAATCACATTACATGCATTATCTCATTAATCCTTACGACACTCTTTAATTTACATTGTTGTCCTCATTTTATAGATAAGTAAGCGGAAACTGAACAGGTCAAGTTGCATGTCCAAGATTGCACTGCTAGTATGAGAAAAGCTGAGTTTTGAGTGCAATCAAGGTCTCTTTGACTGATCCTACTGCAAATGCATAACCATTATGTTAGATGGCCTCAAAAATAAAACAAAACATTGAAAACAATCAAAAACCAAACTTGTCTTTGGAGAGATTAACCTTGTGGTAGAATTCAGGATCAAGTGAAACAGAATGGAGGCAAGTAAGGCAGTTCACTACTAATAGAACTGTAGACTCCTAGGTGACATGAGAGGAAATTAAGATGGTCAGTTACGAGGAGAAACAACTGAAAAGGCTATGTGGGTGATGCTAAAGGGAAGAAGAAATGCCTGGTAATAAGAGAATATAAATATCTTTTTAGTCACTGTCACAGAAGACCTGAACATTAGACTTACTGTTGTGATACTTCTGTCAGATTTTGGTTGTGACAACTTTTTTTTTTTGAGAGATTTTTGCTATCGGGCATGTGCGCTTGCTGGAGAGAAAGAGACAAAGAGACAGAAAGTAAGAAATCATTCCCCACCCTGCCCAGGAGGGATGGCCATGCTGTGATCCCTTCTCCTCAGTTCTCTTCTTGGGATCCTGGGCATGCACACACATGTGCCTGGTGTGAGTTTTAAGTCGTCAGTTCTGGTTAACTACGGTCGACTAGGTAGGGGTCCAGTGATGTAACCATTATGCCATCTGCTGGTCCCCATGACAACTAACATTTTATGGGGACAATTTAAAAAAGGACTTTTAACAGAGGGTTCAGGAACTTTTACTATCCATGGATCTACTTCAGGAATGTGTGAATCCCACATGGTTGTAGGCACAACAATATGTATATGTATATGCTTATTTGTTTTTCTGGGGAAAGGGATGACAGCATTCATCCAATTCTGAAAGGGTATAGAACCCCTAAGAATGATTGTACTAAGGTATTAGTCAAATTTCTATGCATTTTTCTTAATTCTCTAAGCTTTGTTCCATATTAATTTTCAGAAAGCTGTATATTACCTTTTAATTATATTCATTTCTTTTTTCTATACTTTTGATTTAATAGTAAGTAAACCAACAATTATATATAATTATATATAATTATGAAACTATATATCCCTGTATATACACACACATATACAGACAATATCCACTTTTGAAAATAAAAGTGCTGATAAGAATATTATCATTTAGGTTGATCAATTTCATACATAAAAAAGTATGTTTATATATGTAATATATGTGAATGTTTGTATTACTGCACATACACACATACTTTTGCATATACACAATTGAATATACTGGATTATGTCCTAATTATATACAGCTGGGTCTATGCCTGTCTATTCATCAATCAGTATTTCATGATCAGATAACTTTTCCCGGCCCTCAATGTTTCAGAAAATTCTGTTTCTGGGCCTTTTCTTTATTTCACATTTTAAAAATAGCTGAGCTTGAGCCAGTAGTTGGCATAGTGGTTAAGACACTGGACTCCCACATGGCTGACCATGGTTCAA